AAACTCTCGCCAACGGGCAATCAAAAAAGAGGTGCTTGATAGTCTCATCCCGATCACAAAAACTACACCTAGTAGATCCTTTCCAGTTGCGCTTAACCAGATTATTCTTTGTTAAAATTACTTGTTTATGCACAAACCACATAAACACTTTAATCTTCAAAGGAACTTTGACTTTCCAAACATGTTTGGAACTAGGAATAATAGTAGAGTTACTGACATCGATATACATCGACTTAACTGTGAACTCTCCGGACCTAGTAAGCTTCCAACACAACTGATCGGGCTGATGAGCTAGTTGAACCTCCATCAATCTACTCACCAAATGAAGTCATGCTTCCCACCGGTCACCAACAAGCACCCTCCGAAACTGAATATTCAGGGGAATGGACTGCATAATCATTGGAACAAGAGAATCACGACGCTGAACAATACGATGCAGGGACGGATACTGGAGCGCCAACGACGTTTCACCAAGCCACGTATCCTCCCAGAAGCGAGTGGTGTTGCCATTACCGACAATAAACTTTGTTCTATTAAAGAAGGCAGCTTTGACTCTCATAAGCCCCTTCCAAAATGGCGAGTCAATTGGTCTCACTGTCACCTGGGACAAAGTCTTGCACTGCAGATACTTACTACGGAGAATCTGCGCCCACGTTGCCTCAGTCTCAACTGACAACTTGTACAACCACTTACTGAGAAGACATCTGTTCTTGACTTCAAGATTCTCAATACCAAGGCCCCCCTGATCCTTTGGTCGACAGATGATATCCCATTTGGCTAGTCGGTATTTTTTCTTAAGTTCATCACTCTGCTAGAAGAATCAGGATCGATAGAAGTCCAGCCTTTTCCTAACCCCAACTGGAACTTCAAAGAAGGATAAGAGAAACATAGGCATACTCGTGAGCACCGAATTAATAAGAATCAATCGGCCTCCATATGACATGAGTTTTCCTTTCCAGCAACTCAGTTTCTTCTCAAACCGATCCTCAATACACTTCCACTCACTATTTGTTAGCTTACGATGGTGAATGGGTATACCTAGGTACGTAAAAGGTAAGGCCCCCAACTCACATCCAAACAATTGCCTATAAGCCTCTTGTTCGTCCTTGGCTCTACCAAAGCAGAACAACTCGCTTTTATGAAAGTTAATCTTCAATCCAGTCAATTGTTCAAATAAGAATAACACCAACTTCATATTTCTCGTTTTTGCCAAGTCGTGCTCCATAAAGATGATTGTATCATCAGCGTACTGCAGGATGGACACACCACCATCAACTAGATGAGGCACCAAGCCACCCACCTGACCAGCCTCCTTTGCCCTACCTATCAGGATCACCAACATATCAACCACAATGTTGAACAAGATAGGAGACATGGGATCTCCTTGTCTCAGGCCCTTGTGTGTCTGGAAATAATGACATATATCGTCATTCACTTTAATTCCAACACTCCCTTTTTGCGTGAAAGATTCTACCTGGCGTCGCCAAGCTTCATCAAAACCCTTCATGCGTAAGGCCTGTTGAAGGAACGGCCATTTGACTTTGTCGTACGCCTTCTCGAAATCCACCTTGAAAATAACTCCATCAAGCTTTTTCATATGAATCTCATGGAGCGTTTCATGAAGGACCACAACCCCTTCAAGGATGTTCCTGTCCGGCATGAAAGCAGTTTGAGTAGGCTGCACCATAGCATGCGCAATCTGTGTGAGCCTAATCGTCCCGACCATGTTAAATTTTTTGAAACTAACATTAAGCAGACAGATGGGCCTGAATTGCTTGATTCTCACAGTCTCTGTTTTCTTAGGAAGCAGGGTTATGGTGCCAAAATTTAGCTGAAATAGCTGAAGCTGTCCCGAGAACAAATCATGGAACATCGGCAACAGGTCCCCTTAAATAATGTGCCAGCACTTCTTATAAAACTCAGCCGGGAATCCATCCAGGCCGGGAGCCTTATTATTTTTCATCTGCGAAATGGCCTCGAACACCTCCTTTTCAGTAAAAGGAGCGGCTAAAATATCATTCTCGACAGCAGTAAGTTGAGGCACATCCTCAACCCTAGACTCATCCAAGGACACACAGTTATCCTCTGGGGGTCCAAACAACTGCTTGTAATACTCAGTAATGTATAATTTTAGGTTCTCCTGACCGATAATCGTTCCTTCATCTTGTTCAAGCTGAAAGATCCTCTTTTCCTGTGTTTGCCATTTACGATCATGTGGAAGAATTGAGTGTTCGCGTCCTCCTGGACAACTCTTCGGACCTTGGCCTGCAGAGCCCACTTTAATTCTTCTTCACGAAGAAGTTCTTTTAGCATCATCTCTGCGTCAAGCTTGGCATGAAGCTCTACGGCTGGCAGAACCGTGGTTTCTGCTTTTACATCTAAGGACTGAATAAGGGTAAGGAGCCGTTCGTTTTCAACCTTATAAATCCCGCTAAGATGCTTAGCCCATCCACGTAGGAAACTTCTCAGGTGTCTAATCTTATTCTGCCAGCCCTCAAGCGCAGTCCTACCTCCTGCATCCTTAGCCCACTCTCTGGCTACGAGATTAAGAAAGCCTTCTTTTTCAAACCAAGCAAGCTCGAACGAGAAAACATTTTTGTTACCCAGGTGGGAGGCCTCACCAGAGTCAAGAAATAAAGGCATGTGGTCAGATATACCGCGAGAAAGTGCCTGCACTGTTACAAAGGGAAACTTCTGTTCCCATTCGACACTTGCCAAATCACGATCCAACTTTTCAAAGGTTGGGTTGAGTAGATAAAGACTAGAGAAGCTGGATGTGCATCATCCATATCAGTTCGTGATGTTAATACTAAATACCATTGACTTGCATCTAGTACATCATTGGTTCCCTAAAGTTCACACCTCTATCTAGTACAGGGGAAAAACGGAGATATATTAACCTACAGAGGAAGTGAAGTTATGGCTAATTGTAACATTAACTGGTAGTGGGGTAGGTTTTGATCCATCGGAAATTCCCTTGAAGCATCCATGCCAATTCATTAAGTCTTGATAGTGATGCAAGAGGATCCGGAAACAAAATAAATACGACATTACCATTCTAAGCAAAGAAAAAAAAATGATATATAGGTGGAAAATGAGTGGAGGGAAGTTTGTGTAGAATACTGCATAAGTGTGACAGAGAGAGCATTAGTTCCATCATCTCTCTTAATTACTACCAGGTCACCGGGTGTATTAGCAGGGCCTATACATATACTGCAGCCTAACTAGCTAGCCTTCTTTCGAAAATTAAAATTACATCTGAGCACTTTCCCCTTTCTGAACTAAGGCTTGCATGGCGAATCCAGTTACCATTGGTGTTGCTGTAGGATGGGGCGTATCCGCTATAGTCTGGCTCACCTCGCCCCTCATATCAAGGGTCCTCAACAAAGGTTTTGCCCATCTCGACTTTGATGCAATGGAGAAGCTGTAGATACTCGATATAGAAATTTTACAGCTGCAACATGTGATGGAGGTAGTCCGCGAGAGCACTTACAGGGTTGTCTTGGAGCCACTATTAAACAAGCTTCGGTCTGCTCTGCTCTCTGTCAGGCCCTTTTTTCCTCAGGAATGTCACTCTGTATTGTTCTTGTACTGCTAATTCAGGAGCAATTTTCTCTAGCTTTTTCATTAACTGAAACCAGGTTGGACAGTGTTGCTTTGCCAGCATTAATTCTCAAACCAATAATAAGACTGGACCGTGTTGTGTTTGTGTGGCCACCATTGCTGTACTGAAAGCATCCCTCAACCACACCCCCGTCCTCCCAACTGCCCCAGCATTCGTTCTCTGCTTTGCTAGTAGCTTCAACCGCACACCATCGCTACTGTTCTTCCTATGCAATTTTCTGCCTCGCACTCTTCTTCTTCGCGCGGGGGGTGGACACCAGGTCCAGTCTCGCAGACGCAGATTCGCCAAAGTTCTTTGTGCGGAGGCCAAGAAGAATCACCAGGTCCAGGCCTGCCCTCGGTGAGAACGCGCTCCCATATTGAGGTCTGTTTAGCCTTCTTAATTCTTATAAAGCAAACCAGTGGGAAACAAAGCATCTCTCTCTCTCTCAACTGGTACTTGTTTTGTCTGTCTTAGTTGTGATTGTGAACAGGTTACCGGGTGCACTACCAGGATTCATGTACATATATATAGATCCTTCAGCCTAGCTTGCAATGCTGGACCCAATTACTGTTAGTGCTGCTGCAGGATGGGGCGTATCCGCACCGCAGTAGGCTGGCTCGCCTCACCCATCATTTCAAGGGTCCTCAACAAAGGTTTCGCCCACCTCGACTTTAACGCAGCGGACAAGCTCAAGATACTCGATGTACAAGTTTTACAACTGCAGCGCGTGATGGAAGTAGTCGACGAGAGCACTTACAGGCTTCCCTTGGAGCCACGGTTAAACGACCTTCGGTCCACTGCCTACGAAGCCGAAGACATCTTGGATAGTGCAGCATCTCAAGAAGAAGATCCAAGATGCCAAGTCAGCCGCCAGCATGCCTCCACGTAAGAGGGATTGGCTGAAGAAGAAGAATCTTAGGCCTGCCATGCCGAGCTCCCTACTAAAAGATAAGTTATTTCCCTGCCCTCCTACTTGGATGTGTTCTGCTTGGTCGCAGGTCCTCCCAACTTTTTGTACCACCTAGTTACTCCCTCCGCTCATTTTTACTCCGCGTATTAGATTTGTGCCAAGTCAAAGTTTGACCAAATTTATATTAAAAAATATAAACGTCTACAAAATCAAATATATATATATATTATTAACTACATTTAATAATGAATCTAACAATATTGATTTGGCATTGTGAATGTTGATACTTTTTATAAGTTTGGTCAAAATAGAGATACTTTGACTTCAGACATAACTTATATGCAGACTAAAAAGGACCGGAGCGAGTATATGTTAATGAGAAATACAAATGGTTTTGCAGGACAGTTTGTTGCTAAAATCAGAATGCTTTCTTACTGATTTGCCATAGTTACCAAAAACTCGATGATAAGATCTTGAAATACAATGGTTTTGCAGGACAGTGGGTTGCCAAAATTGCAGTTGGAGGAGAGCCTAACAAGGATAGAACGTGCTATAAGTGGTGCATGTAAAGTTTTGGAACAATTGAACCTGCCAGGTGCAAGTAATGATAATGGGAGACGAGCTGTTCCCACCAATTCACGCAGTGCAGTCACTACTGCAGGTCCTTCGACACGAGTTATTGGTCGGGATGAGGATCGTGACAAGATCATAGCAATGCTTCATGAGAAGGAAGACCAGTGTCAAGCAAACACCGTCAGTGGTATATGTTATTCTGTAATTGGCATTCATGGCGTCGCGGGGTCAGGGAAATCAACACTTGCCCAGTTTGTTTATGATCATGAGAAAAAGTGCAAGGAACAGAGAATGGAAGGCCATTTTGATGTTGTAATGTGGATTCATATTTCTCAGACATTCGATCCAGATTCGATTTTCAGGGAGATGATGGAGGGGGCTACTGGGGAAGCTTGCCCAGAATTCTCTAGTCTTAACGTCCTAAAGGAAAAACTGGAGGACGAACTGCGTGGGAAACGGACTTCGTTGGTGCTGGATGATGTCTGGTTCAACATCAAGAATTCAGGAGACAGTGAAGAACTGCAAAACTTAATTTCTCCGGTGAAAGTTGGGAAGGCAGGAAGCAGAATCTTGGTGACTAGTCGAACTAAAGCTGCATTAGTAACCCTGGGTGCTATAAAAGAGAGACGTATTCCAATATCTGACCTGGGTGATGAAGTGTTCCTTGAAATGTTCATGCATCATGCACTCCGAGATGCAACGGTAAGTGACAAAGATCGTAGAATACTTGAAATGATTGGGAAGGACATTGCAGAAAAGTTGAAGAAATCACCTCTAGCAGCCAGAGCAGTGGGTTCACGGCTCCGTGAGATACAAACTGTTGAGTTTTGGAGGAGTCAGAAAGATCGGAACCTTATGAACGACACGATGGGAGCTCTATGGTGGAGCTACCATTATCTAGATGAGCAGGTCAGGCGATGTTTCGCTTACTGCAGTATTTTCCCCAGGAGATACCGTTTGAACCGTGATGAGTTAGTTAAGTTGTGGGTGGCAGAAGGGTTCATAAATATTAGTATGCCTGAAGAGGAAATGGAAGATGTTGCTCGGTTTTACTTTGATGAATTGCTATCGGCCTCATTTCTGCAATTAGGAGGGAAACAAAAGGTAGATGGATGTGAGGTTGATTACTTTACGATTCATGATCTGCTGTATGATTTAGCAGAGGAGGTTGCCGGAAGAGATTGCTTCAGGATAGAGAAAGACTTCACAGGAGAAGTTCCTCCAGGTGTCCGCTATCTTTTTGCTGGGACTTGTAATATGGAGATGTATACTGAGAAGATATCTGGATTGCGAAATTTACGCACTCTCATCATCAATGACAAGATATATGTTACATCAAACCATGACAAAGTCTTATTAGTGCGTATGTTCAATATGTTCACCTTTGGTCTTGGATGAATGATGGACCAGTAGCTTGTGCTACGGGAGACAGGACAGAGGAAGCTCTGCAAGAAACCATAGAATCTGAATGCTGCCACCGTTGGTCCGTTGCTGATAGGATCTCCCATGACTGAAACTGTTAATTTCATTGTCACATTCTTAGGTGCGGAGCAACCACATCCATGTACCTGATTTAGGTGACAAGGCTAGGCCACTCCCAAGCTCAAATCGACACCACAAAAACTAACCAAACACCAAGCCCCCCATCATGCAATACACAAAAATCACTTCTAGGTTGAGAAGAAACTGAGATGCACCTGCCCTTGAGAGCTGCCCCCTACGCCCCGTCTGTTCTTCCTCGCCCCCAAGCCCCCCACCATGCAAACAGTAAATATACAGAAAGTACTTTGAAGTAGCATAAAAAAAACAATAACATTGACATATGACCAGCCAAGTGAAATTCTATAGATCATCAGGCACTATATATCTTGCCAGCAAAGGTGATCACACCTGCTTCTGGTGACAATTCCACGCTATCGAAACAGCAATCACTCTGAAGTGAACTCACAAAGCTGACCTCTTATCGACTCTACTGAATCTAAACTAACAAAAAGACAGAAGTTTTGTGTATATATTGGGTGGTCTGTTCGAGATCTCAATTACGAGCTAAAACAAACAAATTATAGGCGCTTATGTAGTATCACAGTGGTAATATTTTGAATTTTACACAGTGGTAATATTGGTCTCAGCTGAATTTGAAACATGCGGTTCCAAACACTCGCTTCAGTGTGTCTAGCATCGGAGTTTGAATTGCATACCCAGTTATTCAGTGTACATATATTCGAGATCTTATGAGCTACTCAGTTGAATTTGAAACAAGCAAATTATAGGCGCTTATGTAGCATCACATTGGTAATACTGATCTCAGATGAATTTGAAATGCGTGACAGCAAACACTCGCTTCAGTGTGCTTAAAATTGCAAGTTGAAACACGTGTTGGGATATATATCCCGCACATCAACATAAATAAATGAGTCACTTAATCGCACAGAATTGGTACGTTTATGTTGCAGGTGTTCATATACTAGCTAGCCCACATCAAATTCCTTATCCTGTTGTACTCCACAAAATTCATCTTACAGAATTGCTAATGCATTAATGCACAATCACCTGAAACCACCGCTGGACAGGAACGCTTTCAGAGTCTCTCATAGTTGTGGAAAACACCCGACTTGCAGGTGCACATCAGCTACCTCTACCACAGTTGTTGATTGACTGAAAAATTAATTTCACTGTCACATTCTTAGGCACAGAGCAGCCACATTGATGTTACAGTAACCGAAGCTAGAAGTGGCATGAAAACAAGGACAAAATATACATGACCATAGCCAAGTGAAATCATGTAGATTGCCAGGTTCCATCTTGCCAGAAATATGACCACAAGAGCGAGAACTCTACGCTATCGGTACCTCAGTTGCTTTGAACTCAGAAAGCTGATCTGATAACATCTTCACTGAATCTGGACAAACAAGACAAAAGCTCAGACAACACACAAGGTTTTCTGCCCAATTCATGAATACTAATTCAAGCTTAAAGGAACAACATTTTAGGTACTTAACCAGTATCACAGAATAACATAATATTGATTCAACTGAACTCGAAACATGTGATCGCAGACACTCACTTTAGTGTCTGTAATGCAAGCTGGGATACACAGAAGGACAGAGGCATGCTGACATGAAGGAATCAGTCCTGAAAACGCCCTACAGAATTGGTGGTTTTGTATTGCAAAAGTTCATTTACTGCCTAGCACCTAGCAGTATAATAAACTTCTAACTAAAGAAAGAAACATACTGGGGGGTTTGGTAGGAGAACCTACACAATAGGTCTACTGTCCCATTACGAGAATGAGTCACAAAAAGGAAAGAAACACTAATTGGCTGCTCCCTCTAATTCATATTACAAAGTTGCTAACACACAATCACCTGAAAACTCCTAAGTTTCAGTCAATCATCTGAACCAATGTGATTTGCTTTGAGATTAGAACAGGTAAGTATCTAAGGATGGCTGAGAGATTGACAGCAATATAGAAGAATTTCAGTTGCCTCTGCAATGATAAGCTAGTAAAACTCTGATCTTATGAGGTTGAATTTTTCTATTCCAACCTCTCTGAAAAAAATTCTCTTCACCATTTTCATAGCTCTACTGTTGTCAGTTAGGCAGATTTACAAAACAAAACTGAGACAAAATTTTACATGTGTAGATGACTAAAAGAAAACTTTTGCCATGCCTTATATCTATCAAAAGAAATGTGTACAAAATGAGTTATGCATGACTCAATGAACTTTCTCGAGGTTCAAACAATTCAAACTGGATCAACACTTGTATTCCGGCTACATTAGCTTGACCATCAAAACTACTACTAATGAAAAATCACGCGTTATACAAGTTGTGTGATACTGATACTTACAAAGTGAGGGACATGATGGAATAGAAATTCTACCACTTATATTGCCCGTGAAGACAACAGCGATGGTGGAAAGTCGGCATATATGTGTGTCCCATTATACATAAGCGAGCATTGTTTGGTACAAACCCTCTGAAGCTGCAACATCTTGGCGTCCATTGAGAAATATTCGACGAGTGAATTCTCTACCAAATTCCCTAGAGAAGAGGCCACCGTCCTTACCAATAGCAAGTACCTTCCCGTTGCAGCATCGATAGAATATATGTATCCAGGGTCTAGTGATATTGTCTTCAACATTTGCCACTGGTTCGGACTCTCGCCTGTATTTTGCGCAATGGCATAGCTGAGATCAGATGCAATTTCACCATGGAACCCAAAAATCCCAGGCCTGCCTTCCCCTGCCTCCACAATGGCTACACGTTTACTCCACTCTCCGGGTGGGAGGTCGGCAAAGGAGAACTCCATCCTCCTGGTGTCAAGCATGAGCAACTTTCTGCTCCCGGTCACAAGCCAGTCCCAGTAGAAGCAGCCATAGGCATAATGGCGCATGAGAAAATGAGGGTGGATCCGTGACAGTATGGCCGAGTCGCCCCTGTCAAGGACCAAACCAGTCGGCCCGCTCTTGGTGGCTTCTTGCCATTTTCCGGTGCTGGAAGAGAAGACAAACGCGGCCAGCTTAGTTCTGCAATGCGCCATCCAGATGATTCTGAATGCTGTCTCTTCCGTCTCCTCCTCGGCGACGGGGAGGAGGAAAGGTTTGAAAGGGTTGTAGACCTGGTGCTCCACCCAATGGGCCAGGTCGTCCGGAAATGGTGGAAGCAGGACGTACCGCCGGTGCAAGGGGTCGCACACCACAAGCTCCCGGAAGACCGGAGACGGGTCGTCCTTTCCAAACCTGCGGCCGAGGAGGACGCGGCCGTCGCGGACGTCCTGCACGATCCAGCGGCAGTGGGATGGGAGGAAGGAGAAGGAGAAGTCGGCGGCGAGAGCGAGGGCGCGGGCGGCGGGCGCGGAGGGGTGAGGTGGTAGGGCTGGGACGAAGTGGTCGCGCTGGAGGAAGCCGAGGAGCAGCGGGGCGTGGAGGCGGCGGAAGCGGCGGAGGAAGGACCGGCCGGTGGCGAGCCGGCGGAAGGAGATGCAGGCGGCGGAGGCACGGGCGAGGTCGGCCGCGGTAGGCAAGCGGAGGAAGATCTCCTCCTGGATGTGGTCCGGGATCGCCGTCAGCGGCGTGCCCATTATCTGGCCGGCGGAGGCACCGCCGGTGGGATCTGGATTGAGATGGATTTGGTTGGATGCTTTGACTCAGAAGCAGTGCTTGGGGAGTTTGTGGCGCACGCACGACCGCAAGCACGGAAGCAAATGGGCCGAGTTGCGTCGTACGAGGGTGACTCGGCTGGAAGGTCCATGACAGGTGGACTGCCCAATGCGCCTACCATTGGGGTCGAGTCGCTCGCTCTACGCGGGCGAACAACGCCTCCGAGCCATCCATTGCTCGCTGGCGTGTGGCAGGAGCCTCTTGGTGGTGACCTGAGTCGTCTGATTTGTCCAGACGGCCCGGACCTGGGCAACCCGGCTAGGAGGTCCATGACATGTGGATCGTCGGGTCCGCCCGGGGTGGTCGTCATAAAGCGGCACCCGTTGCTCATTGGAGGGCGGAGGAGCCAGCCACCGGGAAACCCCGGCGAGATCAAAAGCGGAGGATTCGTCGGCATCCCTCGGCGGCTGTGTTGTTGGGGTTGGGGGACCGACTTGGGCACCCCCTATATCTCGCGTTCAGCGAGACCTAGGGAAAGCTCGCTGAACGTGAGACTGAGATGGGCCGACCGAGGAGCGGGGGAGGCCACTAACTCCTTTTTCTGTTTTTCACATTTTCTGCTTTCCCTTTTCACTTTATTTTTTTACTTTTATTTACACTTTAAATATTCTAAATATATAGTTCCTCCGTATGGAAATACTTGTCGGAGGAATGGATATATCTAGACGTATTTTAGTTCTAGATACATTCATTTTTATGCATTTCTCCGACAAATATTTCCGGACGGAGGGAGTATATTAAAAAAACACACTACAAAAAACATTTGAAAATGTTGATCAAGCATTTGAAAAATGTTAAATGTGTATAGAAACAATGTTTATTATGTATACAAATAATATATTTTTTTATCATGTATTACAAAATCGTTAATCAAGCATTTAATTTTTTAACAAGTATTTGAAAAATGTTTATCAAGCATTTGAAAAATGTGAAATGTATATACAAAAAATGTTGACCCTATATAAAAAATGATGACTTTTTGTCATGTATATAAAAATGTTAATCAAGCATTTAAAAAATGTTGAAAAAGTATTTAAAAAATGTTGATCAAGCATTTAAAAAATGTTAAATATGTATAGAAAAAATGTTCACTATGTACTTTAAGAAGTGAGGAAATTTATTGATCAAGTATATAAAATATTGTAATCAAGAATTTGAAAAAATGTTGAAAAAATATTTGAAATATATAAATCAAGAATTCGGTAAATGTTAAATTTGTCTAGAAAAACTGTTGATAATCTGTTAAAATGTTAATATCGCATTCATAAAATGTTTATCAAGTATTTGGAAAAAATGTTAATCAAGAATTTTGAAAATGTTAAATGTGTGCTGTAAAAATTTGGATCATGTGTTCAATTTTTTTTAATATTGCATTTAGAGAATGTTAATAAAGCATATGAAAAAATGTTAAACATGCATAGAAAAAAATGTTGACCATGTATTAGAAAATGTTAATCTTGTATTTGAAATATGTTAATCAAGCATTTGAAAAAGCTTAAAAATGTGTATAGAAAAAGTGTTGACCATGTATTCAAAAAATGTTAATCTTGTATTTGAAAAATGTTAATCTTGTATTTGTAAAATGTTATAAATGTTGAGCATGTATTAAAAATGTGTTAATTTTGTATTGGAAAAATGTTAAGCATGTATTAGAAAAGTGTTGTTAACATATACAAAAAAATGTAGAATGGAAGTAAAGAAACACAAAAAAAGAAATGAGAAACGAAGAAGACACAAAAGAAAAAAAGTAAAATAAAAATAAAACTGAAGAAACAAATGCAACAAGATGAAAAAAATCTGGAGAAGGGAAAAGATAGCGAACAAACTACCCAGAGAAAATTGAATAAGGCAAAAAAATGGTGGAGAAAAATTGGCTTTTATATTAAGTAGGACGTGGCCTTCATTTCATAAGGAACTTGACACAGGCGCAGTGGCTATCATCGCTAGCTACTTTTTTTTTGAGACAACGGTAGCTACTAGTACACCCGGGTTTGATCCCCGGTTACTTCCCTCATTTTTTCCACTATTTCATTTCTTAAGTGAGCTGGCACAGTTGCTACACGAGAAACAGAAACCTTCAGCGAGAGAGATTCTTCAACCTCGCTTAATGTGACATATAGTCGCCGCGGACCAACTTGAGTGCAGCGGCTCTGTTGTTGTTGATTTTCTGATGCCGAAATGGGCCTTGGCTAGTAATGACATGCCCAGTTTTCAGGCCCGGCATCTTAGTCGTCCAATTCCTCAAAAAAAGAAAAAAAGAATCTCAGTCGTCCAGCTTTGTCTAAAAAGAAAAACTAGTCGTCCAGCTGATCTCAAAAAACATCCCTAAAAAAAGCTGATCTCAAAAAACAAACAAAAAACTGGGTAGTAGTCATCAGCTTATAGCACTCAAAAAAAAGTCAGCTTATAACACTCGTTTCTCAGAAAAAAGAAACTTATAACACTAAAAAGAAACTAGCCAACAGCTTAGCAAAAATAATGTTTCTCTTCAAAAATGTTCTAAAGAATGTGAAAATAAGATTTGCAAACAAAGCTCGAAGAATTCCACTTGAGCAGAGTGCAGTTTTCTATTGTGCACGCCAAGTAAAATGTGAAGTCAAGGAATCTACCGTTCAATGTATGTCTGAGATTGGTGCTAGCTACTTTCTCTCATCAAGTATAAAACGTTGTTGGCTCTTTTCTTATCACTGGTATGAGTGTGCATGTGCAACTTTCGTATCATAATCTATAATAAAAATATCTATTTTAAATTTACTTGGCCCCTAAGTTTTTATAGCGAGTCATTTAAATGTGTCTGATGCCCAATGATGTGAGCACACGTGTAACACATGATCCATAGACACATCTTCACATAAATTAACGACCACATAAATGTATTATAATATGTTACAAAAATATTTAAAAAACAACAGCTAAGCAACATTATCTATTATTTGTTGATGATTCTCTCTTGAGGGTCTATTTGTTGATGTGATCTATGATGCTTCATTCCATGGATGGGATATTGTTTATAGTTTCATTCCCTTTACACTCTCACGAGTCCTTTTTACTCTTCATATGAGATTTGTCTGAAGTCAAACTGCGTAAAGTTTGACCAACTTTATAGAAAAAGTTGTCAACATTCATAATACAAAATCAATATCATTAGTTGGGCCATGAATTTAATTTTCATATTGTATAACTTTAGTATTGTAGATATTGATATTTTCTTCATATAAATATGGACAAACTTTACGAAGAACTTCAGACAAATCTTATATGCGAAGTAAAATGGACCAGAGGAAGGACTTCAAAATATGTATCACCTCGGTTCAAAGAACTATTACCTAGCAATTGATGTATTTGGACGAATCACTTCATAAGATCGAAGGCAAGAGATGAATGGAGCACCATCGGCCTTGACGACAATTTCCCCACAAGCGTGGGTGGTGGCACACAATCCACAACCCCGGACTCATGGGCGCCTTCCACCATCAGGCTCTCAAACGACCAGCGCTCGGTACGGCTGCAGAGCTGAAGCTTGCGGCGATGCGATAATGTGTGGCCCATGACCCCGACAAGGTCTCTTTCTCCTGCACAGCCCTGGCCGGCACATCGGCTGGCAACACAGAGGCAGCTTACGACACGGCTCGGCTTCTCTGACCGAGGCGAGTCGTGGCTACTACCTTCTTCCTTAGAGAGGCCCTCCTACGACGTAGCTACCATTGGCGGAGGCGGTGCATGGGTCCTTGATACGTCTCCGTCATATCTATAATTTTTGATTATTCCATGCTAATATCATACAACTTTCATATACTTTTGGCAATTTTTTATACTATTTTTGGGACTAACATATTGATTCAGTGCCCAGTGCTAGTTCCTGTTTGTTGCATGTTTTTTGTTTCGTTGAAAACCCATATCAAACGAAGTCCAAATGGGATAAAAACAGACGGAGATTTTTTTGGAATATTTATGAATTTTGGGAAAAAGAATAACCGCGAGATGATGCTCGAGGGGCCCACGAGGCAGGGGGCGTGCCCCAGGGGGTGGGCGCGCCCCTGACCCTCGTGGACACCCCGTAAGGCGATTGCTGCCCTTCTTTCGCCGCAAGAAAGCTAATATCCGGAAACAAATTGTATTGAAAGTTTCAATCCATTCGGAGTTACGGATATCCGGGAATAGAAGAAACGGTGAAAGGGCAAAACCAGGAACGCAGAAACAGAGAAACGGATCCAATCTCCGAGGGGCTCTCGCCCCTCCCACGCCATGGAGACCATGGACCAGAGGGGAAACCCTTCTCCCATCTAGGGAGAAGGTCAAGGAAGAAGAATAAGAAGGGGGGCTCTCTCCCCCTCGCTCCCGGTGGAGCCGGAACGCCGTTGGGGCCATCATCATCACCATGAACTACACCAACACCTCCGTCATCTTCACCAACATCTCCATCACCTCCCCCCATCTATCTACAGCGGTCCGCTGTACCCTCTACTTGAACATGGTGCTTTATGCTTCATATTATTATCCAATAACGTGTTGCCATCCTATGATGTCTGAGTAGATTTTCATTGTCCTTTCGGTAATTGTTGAATTGCTATGATTGGTTTAATTTGCTTGTGGTTATGTTGCTGTTCTTTGGTGCCCATCACATGGGCGCGCGCGTGGATCACACCATAGGGTTACACTACTAGGGAAAACCTTATACACAGAATGTTAACAGTAGCGCTGTACAAAATCATACGCTACTGCTACTTAGTAGCAGCGTGCGTAAATAAACCGCGCTACTGCTATGACTTTAGCAGTAGCGCGTACTAGCAAAAAGCGCTGCTGCTTTGTTTGACCTGGGCGCACATGGCTAGCCCAACCTAGCAGTAGCGCGTATACTGGCCCAGCGCTACTGCTACTCTCCTTAGCTGTAGCACGCTTACGTGTAAGGCGCTACTGCTAA